CTACTTTCACATACTTCCTACTCAAGTATCTTCACACAATTGACCTCTTCCAGCACAAAAGCCAATGTTTTAACTCAATTATTTCCCAAATAAAACCTTTTCTATGAAATCTATAGTAATAGGGGTAGGAATTACAATTTGAGATAGATTCAAATTAATTAATCTCTGAAATGTGATACAGTCCCATACCTCCAACTAAAGATAAAAATCTTCAGAAGAAAGGTTAAATGCAGCCTGAGTGCGAAAGCCTGCTAATTTCTCAGGAAAAATTCCTGTAGATTCATTTCTGTCCCATTGGTCAAAGCTGTGTTCTAATTTTTTATTGATTCTATACTTCACATCCACACATTTCTACTTTGTTATCACTTTTATATATTTGCCCTAAGCTGTTTTTCTAGGCCAATGTCAAATCCTTTCATCTTTCAATCCCACTGATGTAATTATTTTTGCAACTTCAATAACTCACATATCATTCAATTCACCCATTTAAAGTGTACAATTCACAGACTTGTGTAATTATCACATAATACATTTCATTACATCGCCACAACCCAACCAGAATCACTGCACCTATTTAGCAGTCACACTTCACTTCATGCCCTCCTTTGCCTCTACCCCAGCCCCAGGAACAACCTTCTCTCTGTCTCTGCAGACTGGCCTATTCTGGACATAGAATCCTATAATATACTAGGGGCCCAGTGCACAAATTTGTGCACCTTGAAAGGAACTGTGGTCCACAAGGCTGCAGTAGGCACAGGGGCGGGTATCAGTCCATCCTACATGCCCCAGCCCACCCCCTCCCACTTCAGTCCCAGGTCCCGTCTGCTAGCAGCTCCATTCTCACCGCCACCACCGCTACACACTGACAGTGCCAGCCCTGCTCGAACTCACTGATGGCATGGCATGAAGTGATTGGGGCAGGCGCAAGCAGTGCGTGTGAGTAGCGGCTGCTGCATCCATCACCCCTCAGTAGCAGGGGGAGGTGGAAAAGCCTTCAGGGACAAACAGGGCTGGCAGCTGCCACCCGCACCCGCTGATGGCGCCAAGTGATCAGGAGCAGCACCATGCACTGGCAGCGGGTGCAGGTGGTGACTCCGGTGCTGGCTACGGATATAAGCGTGGTTGGCACTGGCAGTCAGTACAGGTGCTGGCTCTGGTGCCAGCAGCAGGTGCAAGTGCCAGGTGGGACCCAGGCACACAGGAGCAAAGAATTTTCAGTATCCACCAGAGGCTAGCCCCATGACAGCAACCGGTTCCCCGTCTTGGTCTGGTGCCCTTGCTCACCTGCTCTACCATCCCGCCGCAGCCAACAGTGGTCAGCGCATATCATAGCAACTGGTTGTTCAGTTGTTCTGGTTGTTCCACCATTTGGTCTATTTGCATATTAGCCCTTTATTATATAGGATGATACTCTGTGACTTTTTTCTTCTATTATAGCAATTCTGAGGTTCATCCATGTTGTAGCATGTAACAGTATCTTATTCTTTTTTATTGCTGAATCAGAGACCCAGTGCACAAATTAGTGCACATTGAAAGGAAATTAATTAGAAGGTGGCCAGTGGGGTGGGATTGGGCAAGACAGGCCAGACACGCCCTGGGGCCAACCTCCCATGGTCCCTCCTTGGCTGGCCGCACCTGGGTGGTTCCGGGGCTAAAAGGGCATCTGTGGAGTGAGCGGGGTCCCTCTGGCAGGTGGGGTCCCTCGGCCTGACGTACAGGGATCGGGCCAAAACTGGCAGTCTAACATTCCCAGAGGGGTCCCAGAGTGCAGGAGAGCACTCTATAAAGTTGCTGTCACTTGGCAGCTCCTGTATTGAGCGTCTGCCCCCTGGTGGTCAGTGCTTGTCATAGCTACCAGTCGGAGCATCTGCCCCTGGTGGCCACTGTACGTACATCATAGCTACTGGTTAGATGGTCACTCAGGCTTTTATATATGTAGACTAGAGGCCTGGTGCACAGTGGGATCCCCTCAGCACAGCCTGCACTCTCTCCAATCTGGGACCCCTTGGGGGATGTCCAACTACGGGTTTAGGCCTGATCCTCAGGACCACTGGCTCCTAACTGCTCACCTGCTTGCCTACCTGATTGCCTCTAACTGCCACCCCTGATGGCCTGGTCACCCCCAACTGCCCCCTCTGCTGGCCTGGTCACTCCTAACTGCCTCTCCTGCCTGCCTGATCATCTCTTACTGCCCCCTCCTGACAGCCTGGTTGCTCTCAACTGCCCGCCCCCCCCCCCCCTGCCAGCCTTGTTGCCCCTCACTGTTCCCCCCCACACACTGGCCTGGTCACCTCCAACTGTCCCCCCAGCCAGCCTGGTCGGCCCTCACTAATCCCCCTGCTGGCCTGGTTGCCCCATGAAGCTTGTTTGGCCGTCCATTCAGTTGTTTCTATTCTACGGACATACCACATTTAATTTATCTAACCACCACTTAATGGGCATTTGGGTTGCTTCCACATTTTGACTACTATGAATAATAGTACTATAAAGGTTTATTTAAAATTTTTGGTACGGATATATGTTTTATTATCTTAGGTATTCTTCTGGATTTAACTGTACCTACCTCCTCTCCTCCCCCCCCAAAAAAAAAAAAAAAAATATGTTGAAGCCCTAATCTCCAGTACCTTGGTAAGTGACCTTATTTGGAAATAGGTTTTTATAGAGGTAACCAAGTTAAAGTGAGGCCAATGGAGTAGGCACTAGTCCAATATTACTGATCTAAGGACAAAAGGGGGAAATTTGGACAAGAATCAAGAGATATACACAGACAGAAAGCCAAGTGAAGACAGGGGTTTGCAGCAATAGATCTACAAACCAAGAAACAGATTTGTAGATTTTCGGCAATCACCGGAAGGTATAATAGGCGTGAAAGGATTCTTTCCTAAAGCCACCAGAGAGAGCGTTACCCTGCCAACATTTTTATTTAGGACTTCTAGCCCCCCAAGCTATGAGAAAATTACTCTCTGTTGCTTTAAGTAATCCAGTTTTTGGTATTTTGTTACATTAGCACTAGGAAACTAAAACAGATATATACCTAGGACTGGAATTGCTGGATCATATGGTAACTATATTTAATCTGTCAGAGAACTGCCAGATTGTTTTCCAAAACAGCTTTACCATTTAATTGTTTCTCAATAAACTATTAATTATTTCAAAATCTCTCTTAAATATGTAAAGTAAACTTTTCTATGTGTAACCTTGCCTTTCACTGGTAATTCTCCCTCATTCCCCACCATGGTGACACTTTTCTTTGGCACCATTTGTTAAACTATCCTATTTCCTTCAAAAAAGAACAGTAACAAATAGTTAAATCATCAATGCACTAATAGAGGCGCACTAGAATGAGCTATGGTTGGGCTACAGAATAATATTAAAGACATTTAAACCTGAAGATAGGAGAGTAGATGACACTAAATGGCAGGGTTTTGTTTTTAAAGGGAAAATTTCCTAGCAAGGACAAGAAAGCAAAGAGGGCCCTAAATGATATCATTTTCTTGAGGGAAGTGTGCCTAGCCACAAAGAGAGCCAAGTTCCATCTCTGAAAAGAGAAATTGGCATGTGAAAAAGAGTACATCTTCTGGAAGAAACTTTGAAATTATAAATTTCAGTCTGTTGTCATCCTAAGAGGAGCCTCAATCCTTCTTCAAACAATAAAATACTATAGTCCAATAATAATGAAGTTATATATCACTTAACCAAACATCTGTTCTGAACAAGGAAGAATAGAATCCTTTATATAGTTGAGTAAATAAGATATATACACACACATACAAACAGATCGAGCGCCATGTCTAGACAATAAAGTTTTTTAACAGCCAATAAAGTCTATAGATCTTAAATTTCTGCAAAACTAATGGATGCAGGTATATGAGTAATGATTTGGCTGTTGGCCATGTTATAAAAATTAGGGCTAAAATAACATACACTAAAAAGTTTACAGTAAAATCTTATAAAGATCACTTTATTTTGTTACCAACAACCTATTTTCACTTAATTCACCTACAAAGTCAACCCTTTCATTTTTCACAGCCCCATCTAGAAAAGTAAAGCAGAATGGAAAAGGAATGTTAGAGAAACACACTCTAACATCAGTAAGTTAACCGCTGACATGATGATAGACAAGAAAACACCAGACAGAGCAGATCACTCAAAAAGCACAACTGGATAATGTTATTTTAGTGAAGGGAGGAAGGGGGATAAGAAATGCCCTGAAACACAGTGCAATCACTGATGGCCCAACTGGTGAGCCTGAGTCCTCAAAAGAATTCATTTAGTTCATGTTAACGTAAGAGACAGGTAGCAATACAGTATATTGTACAATACATTTAGAATGTAACACCAAGCATTAATGAGGCTATTGATTATCTCCAATAAGCTATCTTTTATCCTCCTCTCCCCTACAACTATCTCTCAATCAAGGACTAAGCCTGTTCTGGAAGGGGAGGACTAGAACAAAAGAATTGTTCAAGATACCTAGGTCTGAAAACACAGCAACAATTGTTTTAAGTTGGAAGAACATGAGCAAATCTGAAGTCTAAATAACATTTCTATAGAAACCTCTTCCATCCCTAGCCTCCTTTTATCTTTCTATAACAAAGCTACATAGTGCTTTAGTTTGGGATTCTCAAAATGGAGAACCCCCAGCAACAGTATCAACATCTGAAAATTTATCAGAAATGCAAATTCTTAGGCTGGGACCCCAAGCCTTCAGGGGGGCAAGGCCAGCAACCTGTGGTAGACCAAGTTTTCCCTCCTGGTGATTCTGATACTTGCTCAAGCTTGATAGCTACTGCTCCAGATAATATGAATAGAAAAGGCAGAGAATTTTTTTTACTTGTGGAACAAAATGATTCTTAAAAGACTAAAGTGACCAAAGAGAATAGGGGAGGAAAGTCTACTATGTAAACTGTGCATTATTAACTAACACAGCATGTCCCTTCCAGATGAAGGTGTAACAATAACATTGGCAACCTCTAATAAGTATAGCATAAAGATGGTACCTTCCAGATGTTTCAGGAGTGCCCTACTGCTATTTCCATGAGCAGATATCAGAATGGTTTTGCCACGTAACACTTCAGGAGCAATCCTTTCATTCCAAAAGGGAAGGAGTCTCTCCAGAACATCCTTTAAACTTTCACACCGTGGCAGTTGGTCCACGGGTACATCGCACACTTTGTACCTCCGGTCACTGTAGATTTCTTGGTAGTAAGGATGGGACTCCTCAATGGGTGGCGGGGTCACATTGTAGCTTCTTCTCCAGATCCTCACTTGCTCTTCGCCATGATTCAAAGCCATTTTCTCCCTATTGAGACCGATCAGGGCTCCGTAGTGACGCTCATTCAGACGCCAGGAGCTCTCTACGGGAACCCACTCCTGCCCTAGCTCTTCCAGGATCAGCCAGGCTGTGTGGATGGACCGATTAAGAACGGATGTGAATACCAGATCAAACTCAAAGTTTAGCGCTTTGAGTTGCTTCCCACAGTTTCGAGCTTCCTCCAGCCCGTCTTCGTTAAGTTTCTGATCCACCCAGCTACAAAAACGATTTTCTTTGTTCCAAGCACCTTCCCCATGTCTTAACATGATCAGTTTGTATTTGGACATACTGATGGCTGAGCTTCCCTTATGCCTTCAAGTGGCCAATGTTCAATGACAGAAATACATCTGGAAAGAGAAGAAATAAAACGCGTAAGTTATATTCTTCACTCAGCTGACTACCTGGGAAAGAAAGCACAACCTTACTACAACCAATTTCTAAAACTAGGGTAATTTCTTTAAACAGTTTTTGATATCAGACATCCGGCAACTCATATGCTATGGCGCATAAAGGCATATTCTACAGATAATTAATTACAGGGAACCTAGCTGACTTACATTTTCTGATGATTAGATAGTATGCTAATGGCATGATGTAAAATAATGAGAACACTTCATTCTAATGGCATGCTGCATTTCCGCCAGATCAAAGGCAGTTTATTTACAGAAGAGAGGATTTACCAGAATGAGGTGCAGACGTCTACAAAGATGACTAGTAACTGACTCTAGATTGAAAGCATCCTCTCACTTTGTTTTTCCTCTGGTGGAAAAAAAATATTTACTAGTCTCACTTCACTGATGACGTCATTAAACATGTTAATTCAATAAACCACCACATTTATCTGGCATATAAATCACTGGTTGGTGGCAACTAGCTCTTCAAGGCCACAGGCTACACCGCATATAAGAAAATCTAAGTTTCAACATTCAAACAACATTAAAAGTGATTTAAAGCAACATGAGCACCAAACGTGGTATTCACCTAAATAATCTCTCACCTGCCCGAATATAGTGCTTTCGGCAGGAATAAATCCGGATGCAAAACAAGTTATCAAATGCGCGCAGCTGAGCAACTGCTGCGTGTAGGAACAGATTAACAGGAGCAGGTCTGCGGAAGTGAGAAGCTCAGTGATAAGGAGGCCCTGCCTCCTCCTCCCAACCCTTCAACACACACCGGCCACATCTCAGGGGGAGAAGAATCTAGTGAAGTGGAGTAGGCAACCAAAAAGTGTGCTGAACTTGCTAAGCTAAGCTGCTGACCCAGTGATCTGCCGGGTCACTCTGTCTCCCAGGACTCTGCTGCCCGGCTGCATCGGCCTGCCTTCACTCACCCTGCAGCGACCCATCTTCACTGACAAATTATGTCTGGTTTATTACATGCCCAGTGCTCACTACCTCCACCCCAGCACTTTCCACACTGGGGAGCAAAGATTACATGAACATTGGGGCCTGGTCTTCTGCCACTCTTGGCAACTTCCATTAGCTGCAGATTTTCTGTCCCACTAAAACTGTGATTCAGCCAGTTATATAACCCTCAGGGACAAAGTTAGTTGGAATCTAGAGCTAGTTTCTTCCTTTCTTTACTAATTCCTAAAGATTCTGAAGGTGGAAAAGGGCTTTAAAATTTAGGCTTCAGTGGAAGGCAAACTGAGGACCTGAGGAAGGCAACAGATTGAGGTGATTTGCAAATTGAAAGGTTCCAGCAGTAAGGTTTATGATTTCCCTTTCTTGTCAAGTACCAGGTCTGAAGCTTTAGCACATGTGGAGCAAGGAGTTAAAAGCATGAGGTCACTAGCCGGAACCGGTTTGGCTCAGTGGATAGAGCGTCGGACTGCAGACTGAAAGGTCCCAGGTTCGATTCCGGTCAAGGGCATGTACCTAGGTTGTGGGCACATCCCCAGTAGGGGGTGTGTAAGAGGCAGCTGATCGATGATTCTCTCTCATCAATGTTTCTAACTGTCTATACCTCTCCCTTCCTCTCTGTAGAAAATCAATAGAATAAAATAAAAAATTTTTAAAAGCATGAGGTCACTGGAAGATCCTGAGCTCAGCGCTCAGCTGAAGGTCCTCACTGAGAATTTCCAGAGGGAGAGCGATGCCTCTACCCTCAGCCCAGAGGGGCAGCAGGGTGTCAGAAGAACAGAGAATGGGATGAAGGCATCTGGGCAGTATTTAGCTAGGTGATTACTGGTGTCCAGACGCAGCATAATTATGACGCTAATGAAGCTCAAGCTGGAACAAACGCCTTCTAAAGCACTAGGAAACCAAAATAATGAATTCACATGGGTGTGTATGTAATTTACAAAAGAAGGTATTTTTGTATTGTTTCTTCTAAGAGCTCTAATCCACCAAGTAGTAGAAGCATTAGGCCCGTGAAAACAAAATCCACCTCTCATAACATATTGTCTTGTGGTTTTTTTTGGTGGGCGAGGAGAAAAGAAGCTATCAACTGTTCCTCTGCCTCAGCCCTTACATTGTCTTGTCAAGCAAGAAAAACCTTCTTACACTAACGAGCTCTTTTCCCTTAAGATGAAGAGGGATAAGATGGGCAAATTTTGTAGGCAGAAGCACTTCATCTTTTGGTTATGAACTCTACCGCCAAGTTTTGCAGTATTTTAATCTGCTGTATTTGCTTACTGTTTAAGGAAGAAACCATTTTTTCTGCCTTCCTTTCCCATCAAAATATATACACTGGAGCAGAGAAACAGTCCTACAGCCACAAAGACTATACAAATACATACCTTTCCCTTACTCATGTACAGGGAGTGAATATAGAGTAAGGTCCCAAGGTAGTGAGTGTATCTATCTCAGGTAAACTAAAAGTCACTTCCCTTTCTCCTCCTTGATGCTATCAACTGACTTTTCCCATTTAATTAACTGCTAAATGTTCACAGAGGCACTGTTGAGGTTTACAGTTAGTAATCTTTAAGATTTTAATCCTTGTGGAGCTGGTATACCAAGTGTTCATCAACACACACTAAGCAGTTTGATTAAAGTTTAAGGCGTGGCCTGCAAACTCATGCCCCAGTGGCCAGACAGACGTGTGAATAAGCAGTGGTGCTGGGCTACAGGGGTGGTAGGAACAGTGGTGAGCTGCAGGGACAATACATGCTTCTTTGATGGATGTCACTCTGTGTAAGTGGACGAAGCTTTTGTATATCCTGACCTCACTGAACTAAGGGTACCATTCTTAGAACTTTTCTGAAGAACTGAAAGAAGATGGGACTGCTGAAACCAAAGACTGGAGAGAATGCAAGACTTAGACTCAGACCACAGAGAACCTATGGATTCCATTTTATTTTTAGCATAAATGTCTTAAAAAAAAAAAGAAAAGAAAAAGAATCATTTCAGCTCCTAAAAGTTTACATTAAAGAGAAAAAAAAGGGGGGGGGGGGGCAAGTAGCTACTACTTAGCTCCAGCCCACTTCCTTGTGAGACTTGAAGAACTGGGGTTCCTATAGATCTTCCAATTGTCAGAAACTCTGGAAATGCGCATTTTCATGTGATACCTGATACAAATTCTGGCGACTCATTGGAATACAGTTTTTAAATGTGAGCTAAACAAAACATGTCTGCATGCTAGATTGGGTCTGCTAGTGTATGACCTGTGACTTAAAGGGAAATGTCCTCCTGGCCCAGTGAGTGAGGAGGCCATCATGCCATAGGAGATGGTCAGACCCCAAGCCTCCAGGCTCCAATCCCTGTAACCGTCCGACACACTCTTTCAAAGAACAGACCTTCTAATCTCCTATGAACTGTGCCTGTCCTTCCTTCACTAAACCCTTTGCCACCAGCCTGCAGAGTCCCAAACTCTGTAATCAAACTCCCACTCAATTTTGTACTCTTCCTGGAATGCTTCCTCTAGCTCCGAGCTGTAACCAAGCTGAAAGTGAACTGAATGCAAACTATCTCCCAGCTGTCTGCTTCTCTCTGTAGTTGGGGGTGTTTGTGCCTCATATCCTGGAGCAGAAACAGGGGCAGTTGATGGGTGGGCAGGGTCCTGCTCCCTCTCAATGGTATTTCCCAACCAAATACCTCCACCCTATCTTTTTTTTTTTTTTTTTTTTGGGAGGGGGGGGGGTGGAGGGCGCAGGGAGTGTGATTATGAGAATCTTGCTATATTCAGCTGTAGCTCTCTTGCCCTCATTTATTACCTGCAAACTTCCTGAAAACTAAGTGCCCCATTTAAAACCCTCAATTACTTCCTATTGATCTGAGGCTAAAGTTCAAAGTCCTTACTGTGACCAGCAAGGCTTTGGTTTTCTTTTATTTCCTTGAACATGCCATGCTTTTCTTGCCTCAGGACCTCTGCACATACCACACAGAACCCTCTCCCAGACCAGCACTATCTCCCCTCCACTTTCACTGCAGTCCCACACTGCTTTCAGTAATGTCTAGTCATCCTTTAGATCAGCTGTGCCCAGTCAAAATATTTCAATATAATGCAAGCTGTATATGTTCTAAAGCCATATTAAAAGTTAAAAATAGGTAAATTTAATTTTAATAGCACATTTTATTTAACCCTATAGGTTCAAAATATTATTATTCCATCATATGAGCTATATAAAAAAAATTTTAATCCTCACCCGAGAATATGTTTTTTATCAATTTGAGAGACAGAGAAACATCAATGTGAGAGAAACAATGATCAGTTGTCTCCCACACACACCTTGACCAGGAGTCAAACCTGCAACCTAGGTATATATCCTGAGGGGGAATAGAACCCACAATTTTTTGGTATATGAGATGATCCTCCCACTGAGCCACTCATAAAAATTCATGCAAGGATGGGGTGGATTGGAGCCGGGCCTGTCAGGAGGAGACGGTGGGAGGTTGGCCAACTGGCCCACTCTGATCAGGTCTGATCAGGGCTGGGCCAGTTGGGGAGAAGGGCCCAGGACAATTGGTCAATGGGCCCTGCCCCCAACAGGGATGGGGGGGAGTGCGATCTGGAGTAGTGCTGACTGAGGGTAGGGGCCACAGGCGATCAGGATGGTAGGGGCCCATTGGGGGTGGGGTTTGGCCAGGGAGAGGGGCTGCAGGAGATTGGCCAGCACCCTACCCTTGATCCAGGTGAGAGAGGCCAATCAGGGGTGAGGTTGGCTAAGGGTAGGGGCTTTGGGAGGTTGGCCAGTGGTCCCAACCCCTTGATCCAGCCAGTTTGCTGGTCCTTCAAGCATTCTGGTTGCTGGCTAAATATAAATATATATATATATATATATATATATATATATATATATATATATACACACACACACAGACTAGAGGCTGGTTGCACAAAGATTCATACAATAGGCCTTCCCTTGGCTGCTGGCACCGGTTTTTCTCTGCCCCCTCCCCTCCTGTGC